TAATATTAATTACAATTAAACTCCTTTTCTCACAAATAAACATTTTCATTACCCGAAAAAATACATATTTATATAATAAATATATGTATTTCTGTAAAAATATATTTATATAGAATATATACAGATATTATTTATCACTGTTAAAATGCTAAATGCTAGTAATTTGGCATACTACCTTTAATTTATACTCATTTATCAATTGCACTTCATATGCAAATGTTTCATATTTAAGAAAAAACGTGTTCAGTTTTATTTTTTCCTGCTAAATAAAATGCAATTGCGGTGTTAACGGAACTAAAAAAAAAAGTGTTATTATATATATATATATACTATTTACAGATATTATTTATAACTGTTAAATATTAATTCACAGCAGTAATTTGTTATACTGCCATTCATTTATACCCATTTAAATGGAAGAAATATATTACAGTAATTTTTCTTTTTTGAAACAGAGACAGAAAATGCTGTATTACAATAACAATCACTATTAAGAATTACCCCCAAAAAATGAATGAATAAATAAAAAAATAAAAAAATTTAAGTAAAATGTCTGGACTCATTAGAGCATTTATAATTTTGGAAAAAAAAAAATGTGGATAATTGTCAAGAAAATAATGCGGGTTATTTCATGCGTTAAATCTTACTTTTATTTATGCAAAATAATAATGTATTATATTTAGTTTTTCAGCTCCATCTGATTTGAGATGAGATGATGATTTTGACGACGACGGGATTCAAACAGAGCAAGAACGACAGCTAAATGAAATGCTCACATCTGTTATTTGCTGAATCCTTGTGCAGCTAGAAGGAAAGTGTTTTTATTCAGACTCATCAGGATGAAATCATGTGAAGCCGGTGTGGAAAGAAAGATAAGCTCAAAGGTCAAACCCCGTCACAAAGATGCAAGCGGATGCAAACCATGTGCGATGTTTCCATGCCAACCAGCAACATCAGAACTCTCCTGTTATCCTGGAAAAGCAGACCATTAAAAGCAACCATAAATATCCCTTACTGCATATCCATTAGTGTGTCATTGTTCAGCTCATTCTCCTGTAGGTCATAGTTTGGATGATAAAACTGTATGAACTGTAACCACTGCTTTTAACCTTAAACCGGTTTTATTGTCTGTCTGGACGCAGATATAACCCCGTTTTGAACTCATTCGTCACGTGCATTAGAAGCCACAGTCGATTGCTCGGTTTTATAAAGGCCATAGATGTGATGGACTCTATTTTTACAGTTATAATGATAAAGTTGTCAACTCTTCAAATGCTCGACGCTTCTGCCATCTAGTGTCTGACAGCAGGTTCACAACACTGCAACTCTCGCAGTACTTCATATACATTAAATGTAATATTAAATATTAAATTCAACATAATAATATACTTGCACATGTACACAAAAATGGGTGTTTTTCGCTATACATAGTATCTCATTTTTACATATTAATAACTGAATCCATTATATATTAATATTTTAACATTAATATGTGTTTTGTGGACAATTTGTAATGCAAAAATATTGTAACGATGACTTTTTCGTATTCGGTTTACCTTGTTCACTTTTAAACAAAATGTTTTTTATAAATTCCCATTTAAGAAAGGTTTGTTGTGATATTTTATGACACAAATGTAAATTTTACAGAAGGACTTCCAAATTAATTTCTGACCTATTGACACACATATTAGAACGTAATATGTTTTGCTTTATTTATCGTCACTTGGTTTTGAAGTGGTTGCTTTAAATTATTCAAACATGATGGATGTGTAGCCAGCATGATTGGAATTTAGAAATAAAATCATAATACCCCGCCTAAGTGGAGGCGTTCTTCATGAATATTAATTAGCCGAGGGCGTTGCCCGCTGTGGTTGTGCGCCCAATCAAATGCCTCAATTAATATTCATGAGCCACGTCACATTATTTGTTTGTTTTTGTATTAACAAACTACTTGTGCCATCTATAAATACGTGGCGGCACCAGGACGAGGTGGCCGAGTGGTTAAGGCGATGACTGCAAAGCTGGGGAACAATAGTCCGTTAAAGGTGGGGAAGAAGGGAAGAAGAGAGAGAAGGAAGAAAAAGAGAAGGGGAAGAAGAGAAAGGAGAAATGAAGAAAAGAAAGGGTGAAATTTGACGTTCAAAGACAGTTCTTCCTTAGCATGCGCAGTGATACATTTTCCGGTTCCTTCCTCCGGGAAAATCGCGCATTTATATTACACTGTTTCCTATGTCAGGTGCTCACCAAGACCGGGGTTCGAATCCAGCTAAAGACAACTTCTCACACACACACACACACACACACAGACAGACACAGACACACACACACACACTCACACACAGCTGTTCAAAAGATTTTTAATGTGTTCTAAAGAAGTATCTTATGCTCATCAAGGCTGCATTTATTTGATCAGAAATACAGAAAAAAAAACAGTAATATTGTAAAATATTATTACCATTTAAAATAATGGTTTTCCATTTTAATATCTATTAAAATGTAATTTATTCCTGTGATGTGCAGCTGTATTTTCAGCATCATTACTCCAGTCTTCAGTGTATCTTCAGAAATCATTCTAATATGCTGCTTTATTACAGTTTTGCTGCTTAATATTTTTTTGGAACCTGTGATACATTTTTCAGGATTCTTTGATGAATAAAAAGTTGAAAAGAACAGCATTTATTTAAAACAGAAATCTTTTCTATTTAAAGTCTATTAAAATAGAAAACTAGTATTTTAAATGGTAATATTTCACAATATTACTTTTTTTTCTGTATTTCTGATCAAATAAATGCTGCCTTGATGAGCAGAAGAGACTTCTTTAAAAACATAAAAAATCTTACCGATTCCAAACTTTTGAACGGCAGTGAACATTAAAAAAATATTAAATAGTATTAAAATACTATACTATATTACTATCACACATTAAAACCACCTATATGGCACACACATTGTATCAGTACTGGATGTAGAACTCAATAGATGATGAGTTTAGTTATTAATCATCATTAATCTATTGATTGATTGTTCTTATTTAGTGAGAAATGGAAAACAATTTCATTGCACTTGTGTATGAGTTTTTCTAATTATATAGAGTTTAGAGTTAATAAGACTTCACTAACAGCTCTTGCATGATCTTTACTTCATTAATATTTGATGTATTTTTCCTTTGGTCAAAAATCACATCTTTACACTCGTCTTGTTTCACACTGATGTGTTCTACCATCTCAAGCTCGCTTAAGTTTAATTTTTAACTATATATAATTGGTTATTTCAACTATAGACGAGCATCATGAACTATCCACGTTTAAGTGTTTTCCACTCAATGCTTATGAAATCAGTGGGGGGAGAAAAATAAAGCATAAGCATCTATAATCCACAAATTTACTGAATTCAGACGTCTAACAAAAAGATGAAGACAGACGCAATGCAACTTCTGAACAGAAACAAGAACAGGTTTATTGAATGTTCATGACGTCAGGTTGGTGCACGCCGTCGACTTCACATCATGGACGTTTAGTCCAGCTGGAAAATAAAGTGAGAGAAGAAGAGTTAGATTTTAGTTTTATGATGCATCAGTAAGCGCGGCATCTAAACTTACAAATAAATGAAAACCGAAATGCAGAACTCAAACACACTTAAAAAGCATGAACACTTGCCTTGACGAAGCCGATATCTTTAGCGTACTGTCTAAAGCACTGACGGCACATGTTGAGTCCGTATTTGCGGATCAGACCGTGTCGGTTTGAGCAAACCCGGCTGGAGGAAACAAGACAACAGGTTAGAAATGCATGCAAATCCAAATTAAACGAGAAGAAATGCACTTCAAGACTTTGACAGATGACAAAATACAGCCAAAACTACTGCTTTCACTATTAATTAACACCACTCTTGAATGCTCTGAAATGCATTAACGAAAACCAATTTTATCCACAATCAACCCTGAATATTAAAACTCAACTTCAAACTATAATTTAAGATGTTTGGCGCAGATGTCACTATTATTAGATGAAAACTAATATATACTTTAATTTAACGGAATAGTTCGCCCCAAAAATCTAAATTCTGTCATCATTTACTTTACTTCCAGCAACTGTTTGTTTATCCATATTCTTCTAAATGTCTTATTTTATGTTCAACAGAAGAAAAAAATGCATATAGGTTTGCGTTTCTTAAAAACAACAAAAAAAACATTCATATACTTTTTAACCGCAAATGCACGTCTTGCGCTAGCTCGACTTCACGCATGACGTAATCACGTTGTAAAAAAGGACGTAAAACCATAGACTGTATAAAAACATGGACGTAGTGTCCGTGACGTCACCCGTAGGGTTCCGAAGATAGTTTCTGAAGCTCAAAAGTGGGCGGAGGCGGCCGTCGCCATCTTGGCGGCGCGTCACTCCCGGATAATCGAAGATGGGCAAAGAGGCGGGAGCAGGTTGCTGAAGCCACGCCCACCTAGCTCGACAGTGGTGACAGCAGCGGCAATCCACCTGTCACTCAAGTGGCCACGCCCTTAATTATGCAGAACTTTAAGGCTTAATATAATTTAAACGGATGAGTTATAAAAAAATTCACCCCCCTCACAGTTGTCATGAAGGGCAAAATTAGCTATATAGACCAAAATAATTTTTTGAACCAGGCTGTAAACATTTTTTCTGCTGTAAAGTTGGGCATTTTAACATGGGGAGTCTATGGGATTGACTGCCTTTTGCAGCCAGCCTCTAGCGGCCAGTTGACGAATTACAGTTTAAGTCACTTCCGTGTTGGCTTCACGAGAGAGAGCGGGAGGTTGCCGCTCGCGTAAAACCCAATCTCATTTTCTCCTCCAAGTTCAAAATCGTCAGACGTCGTTGTTTTAGCTTTTTTATTTTTGTACTTTCTTTGCATGCTCGCTTTGTAAACACTGGGACGGTACTTCCGCCTACGTCACGTGCGTGACATTTCCAACGTCGCTACGTAATACGTGAAGTCCAGCTAGTGCAAGACCAGCATTTGCGGTTAGAAAGTATACATTTGTATTTTTTTTTAAGAAAATGAGCGATCGTTTCGTCAGATAAGACTCTTATTCTTTGGCTGGGATCGTGTAGATCTCTTTGAAGCTGCAATTTAGACCTTCAGCCCGTTGGTCCCCATTGAAGTCCATTAGGCTACATGGTGAAAAATCCCGGCATTTTTTCCTCAAACACCTTAATTTCTTTGCGACTGAAGACATGAAAGACATGGTGATGAGTAAATTATCAGTACATTTCTACTCTGGAAGTGAACTTTAAACACACGGAGGACAGTAGTAGCCACTAGTCTGCATTTGTTAAGGTTGAAATCTTTAATAAAAGTCGTCCGACTGTAACTAGTAGTTAAACTATGCTGAGGAGCGCAGAACAACAGTAGACTAAGCGCCGCCGCCATGTTTCCGCGCTTCTTCTCCATGTGCTTCACATTCACACATTTAATACACACACGACACCGCACACGCGCGCGTTTATAACCCCTTCACATTAAACACACGCGACAGAAGCAGGACTGACCAGGATCGGGATCCCTGGCCGTATTTTCTCGGGTGACTCCAGTAGAGCTGCTGATGGCCCATCTCGTCTCTCTCGATCGGGATGTCGGAAAGGAAGTCGGGTTTGTGCGCAGGCGCAAAAAAAGACGCTCTCCTTCTACGGAACGCGGCGCTTCCTGCGTCACCACGGACGACGGCGCCCTTTAGCGGTCGAGTGGTGCATAACTTACATAAAAATAAAAACAATGAGTGTAATAAATTATTTTAAATGTATACTTACAAATATTCTTATGTATAAATGACTGAAAATACGTTTCGCTATTAGGGTTAGACGGGATTGATGATATGCTAAAACACTTTGTGGTCAGTTTCATGAACACAAATGTAAAGTTGCTGAATTAAAACCCAAATTTAGGCTTTTTTTAGTCTCTTTATGCTCATAATCTAACAAGAAAGCAATTTAAACCACTTTATTGCTGAATAAAATTATGGTTTCCCTTCTGAATGTATTTTGAAGGTGACATTTTTTCTTATTTATTTGGTCTATTCTTTTATTTATTTTTAAGTTCATTTATAATTATTAGACAAAAAACCCATATGGCCCAAAATATATTATTTTCAAATATATTTTTAAAATATAGCCAACATATATATTTGCTAAAATATGTTTCAAAAAATATTTTCTATAAACATGTATTTTTATATTTTTAAAAAGCATATGTAAAGCATTTAAAAATACATCCAAGAAAACACATTCACATAGGTCACATTTAAAGAAAAGCTTATTTGTTGTCTATAACATGTATAAACATATAGCACATTTTAATAAAAATAAATCATGAATAAAGCCTAAATTTTGGCTTTACTGTAAAACTGAAAATGTATTTTCTTGCCCCTGAAATACATTTTGGTATGAAGATTGAAACTTTATATATTTTCAATTTCAAAAATATATTTCATTGAGCTTCACGTTTTTTTAACATAAGCATATATTTAATATATTTTGGCCAGAAATAAATATTTTTTTGCAGTATGGAAATAGGTAATTCCCTTTAGGTTTGGAGAACGTTCCCCTAATGTTCCCATAACATTCTGGTATAATAACATTCTATAGGCTAAACCTCATTTTTCATATTTATTTTAAGCTACACTGTAAAAAATGACCGTGAATTTAACGGTAAAAGACTGTAAAAATGCTACAGTAAAATCCTGTTAAATGGTTAACGGTAAATTACTATATTACCCCTACTATATACAGTGGAAAACTGTATTGGACATTACATGTATTGGACATTCATTTTACGGTAGTATACCATTTTTGGAAGTAAAAAAAACTGTATAATTTACAGTGAATAACCGTAAATTGACATTCCCAGAATTCCCTGCGTTACATTTCAAATTTGATGTTTTTTTTTGAAATAACTATGTTTCATCTTAGTTTTTTCTTATCAGTTTTGTATATTAGGGTTGTGTGTTACACCTAATGTTGTTAAATGAATGTTTATTGCATTATTTCAGTGTTTAGCGTTTGTGTGAATGACACTGTGCACCTTCTATATATGTTATTATTTAAAAGCTGCTTGTCATGGGCTTTGGTTCATCATGTGACTTTCTCATCACCACCTGCATTTGGTGGTTATCAGTGTATTACAAAGATACAAAACAGATTTCAGTACTTCAGTAGGTTGGTATATTAACATTATATCAGTTAATGAAATTACGGTATTTAACTGTAAATTTAAGTTAAAACCGTAAAACCTAAAATGTTGCTACCGTATTTTTTACGGTAAATTTCCGGCAACCACAGCTGCCGGTTTTTTACCGTAGATTTTTTTACAGTGTAGTATTTTAAACATAACCCAATCAAAACCAAACCTAGTGGTTGAGATGGCGAACTGCACAAAAAGGCGTCACGTTTTCTTAAAAATTTTATTGATTTGGCAAAAAATTCAATATATTTTGTATCCTCTGACAAGATTTAGCTATAAAAATGTTATAAGGTGCAAGAATTAGACAAATTAGTCACAAAGTGGACAGAACCCTCCCCGATAGCACACGTACATAACATCTATTTGACGTCTGCAAGACGTATTTTTAGAGTGTTTGCTAATCTGCTATACGTCTATCGGACGTTTCCTATCAGATGTCAAATAGACGTTTAGAAGATGCCTTTAAGATGTTTATGATGTAAAACTGACGTCTGTCAGATGCTTGTACACAGATAGCACACGTACGTCTGCAAGATGTCTGTTAAAGATCTGGAAAGCATCTGCTGTGTACAAACATCTGATAGACGTCAGTTTTACATCATAAACATCTTAAAGACATCTTCTAAACGTCTATTTGACATCTGATAGGAAACGTAGAGCAAACACTCTAAAAAAATACATCTTGCAAATAGACGTCTCCGTGATGTACTTTGCTATCAGGGATACACAGCAGATGCTTTCCAGATCTTTAACAGACATATTTGTGCTATCATTATGATCACAAAATGAGCTTTGTTTCGTGCATTACTTGAACTTTTTCAGTCTTTTTTAACCCTAAAAACGCGAATGGTGTGGGCAATGTGACATCACGCGTGTGCTGACAGCCGAGGCCCCCCAGAGGTCTGATGATATTGTTGAGAGCCTTTGGTTCCGCACGGAGCCCGATCGAGCAGCATGACACGCGCTTTCAATTAAAATGCGCTTTTATGTGGACAAGACAGCCGCCATACACGCCTGCATCTGCGGTGAGGCTTTGATTCTCTTTGCGATTCTGTGTTTCGTATGGATTCGAATGCGGCAGCTGTTTGCTTTAAGAATCGGTAGCATCAAAGCTAACCAGTGACCAGTGCATCACCAAAATACACACATCGGTATGCATACGCGTGCATCGGTTAACTGTCATTCAAAACGAGTAATATAAAAATACATATATAGTTTGTGATGAATGCAATGGCATGTTTTTGGCTTCAATGCTTTTTCTGGCTCGCTTTAGCATGCAGCTGCAATGAATGCTTGCGTGCTGGCTTCATACTTCCTTATTTTTAAACTTTAGCCTGTGCATATTTGTGCATGCTTTCTCACGTTTATGAAGCTCTAGAGTTGCATTAGTCGACGGTCATGCAAATGTGGTGTTCGCATGCATTTCCCCCCATATCGTGTTTATGCGCGTGTCCATGCATGCATTTCCCGCAGGTTTATTCATAGCCCTGCTTTGGTCCTAAAAATACGAATGCATTGACCTGCTAAAAGCACACAGATCACGACAAATCTGTAGAAATTCGGGGTTGTTTGTACTGGCGATTCACTGCAGATTGCGGTAGAGTTATATATAAATGCAGTACTACTTTAGTATTAATAGATGTTAAGATAATCTGCACAGTAATGCATTTATTTAAGCAGAAGACTGTTATGTTGGAAGCAGCATGATGTGCATCATTAAATCAACGTTCCGTTAGATTGCACATATTTGTACTTTCATTAAAGCATGAGTGTTTGATTTTTCCCATTTGAAATGTTCAAAATAATGGTTTCATGATTTTTTATTTTTTATTTTTTTTTATATGATCTGATTGAAATAGGTACATATATTAAATAATCAGTTTATTAGAAGAGGACTCGCCATTAAATTTGATTACTTTCACAACCGGATTCAGAAGTACCTTGCATGCACCATGCAGTTTATCATCTACAAATATCTAGTTATTGAGTAGAGGCCAATTTTTAGATGCTGCTTCTAATTCTCCTTAGCAACCTGAAATTAAAGCCTCCTTGGCATATTTTAAAATATGTAAACAATGTAAACGAACACACCAGCTACACACATGCTGAGATGCATGCATGCATTGGATCACTGGCCACTGTGTTGCATCGCGCTCTTTTTTCAGCATCTCTCGCCATGAGTGTTGCATTTGTATGTCAAGTCAAAAATAGTTTAAACAATCTAAACTGCATTGTTTCATTTCATTCACAAGACTGTGTATTGATATAAAATACCACTTTTAGGAATCTCTTTACATTTGTATTATGCGGTATTGATTAAAAATCCAATTGCACAACATTTGAAGCTACAATTGTGTTGAAGCTTTTTACATTAACGAAATGTTGCGAACAGTTTCTTTGTATTGGGAACATTATTTTTATATTATATTATCAATAAACGAACACACCAGCTACACACATGCTGAGATGCATGCATGCATTGGATCACTGGCCACTGTGTTGCATCGCGCTGTTTTTTTCAGCATCTCTCGCCATGAGTGTTGCATTTGTATGTCAAGTCAAAAATAGTTTAAACAATCTAAACTGCATTGTTTCATTTCATTCACAAGACTGTGTATTGATATAAAATACCACTTTTAGGAATCTCTTTACATTTGTATTATGCGGTATTGATTAAAAATCCAATTGCACAACATTTGAAGCTACAATTGTGTTGCGAACAGTTTCTTTGTATTGGGAACATTATTTTTGTATTATATTATCAATACTATCTGTGCTGCACTGTCACTGTTCTAGTCTTCTAATTAGTGGCTCTTCAGGTTAAATCCACTGAGACTAGTAATTAGGTCTGGACCCCCGTGAGTTTATACTTTTGTTGAATCCAGGGCCACATTTTTTAAATATTAATACTGTTTTAATACTATGAATCTCATGTTTCTTAGGGCACTTGGTAGAGAAAGATTTAATGTGCACAGTGCAATAGATCACAGAGTGTGTTGTGCATTTGAAATACAATCATCCATGCATTTTGCGTGTAAAAATAGCAGCGATCTAACAATAGGCCGTATTAAGAGGACTTGCCTTTTCAGCAAATAATCCTTTCTTGAAAGTTTCAAGTGAACAAAATGCTTTTCTTTGAGTAAGTGCAGAGTTGTATTTTTTTTTGTACTTTGTCATTTTTATGTAAATGATATGGATTTCTTTTAGATGCATTGTTTAGACTCAAAAAATAATAATATTTAGGCCTAAACTTAAGATGCATATATAATTTACATCCATTTGGATTACACAGTTTTACCATGAACAAACTAATAAACTTAATGCGATGCATATTTGTCAGTCATACATAAATGAAACAGGTCAGATTTCTGTAACTATGTGTTTTAAATACACAATAACCAGGTTTGTATATATT